GGTGCTAACAACACATCATTTTTCTTTGTTTCCACAGCAAGCAAAGGCATAATAAGCTATGGCGCTCCCACTCTGAAAGTGACCTATCAGAACGCCCCGAGCCGATGTGTAAGCCTTCGTCTCTGGGCCGCTCTGACTCTCACAACAACAACACTTCCTCCCCCTCCTTGCATCACTTCCTGGGCGCGGCCGTGCTGCAGGCGCTCGGTGCCGAATCCGAAGACTCTGCCAAATCCAACACCACACACACCTCTGACTCACACACCGACTCCAACGGTGTGTGCGAGTCGTCGGGTCAGGAGGACGAGGGATCGGATTGCGAAAACTCCCTCCTGCTCCCCCTCCCCAGACCCCGAGCAGCCGTCGTGGTCCCGGAGGAAAGACTGGCCAACTCGGCGAGCGTGACGGTCACTGTGCCCGCCGCTCTGCCCCACCCTCCCCCATCGCTCCACATCGTACCTCCCACACCTGAACTCCAGCGGGCTCAGCGGGCTCCTCCCACTCATCTGTCCATTTCTGTGCCCAGAACACAGAAACCTGGGGATCTGACCCTGAGTCTGCCTGAGCGCAGCAGCTCAGAGGAAATCTCTCCTCTCACTCTGGGATCAGCTGACTCGGACACAATAGACTCGTCAGATTTAACCAGCGACAAACACAGCCCCCTCAGCCCTGCTAACCTCACACACCGCCTCCCATTGGCTGCCAGCGATGACAACAACAACCCCAGCGAGTTGCAGATAGGCAGCGCCTCGGACGGCCGCGGCGAGGCCGACGGGTCGTCCAATCACAGCGCAGACAGCATCGACTTCTTCAGCGCCAGGGAGAAGTTCCTGGGCCTGGCCCAAGATGGCAGATCCAGGACACTTTCTGAGCAGGCACAACTAAGGACACCCCCGTCACTGGAAGAAGACGGAGAGACTGAGGCGAAGGAGGAGGAAGAGGAGCAGGGATACGGGACTAGTCAGGTACGGATTTATTCAGATTCATCGCTCTGTTAATGTTTTAAGTTGTAAAAAAATAATAAAATAGAAATGTTATGAAAATGTTGAACAAAATAAAAAAATAAGAAGAAATGTAACTAAGTAAAATCTAAATATGACAATTCAATAAAAAATGTGCAGTTATTCAGAATTTTTCAAAAGAGAGCTGTGCACTTTGACAAAGGTGGCATTAACTTTGATGGACAGGTCCACACTGCTAGTATTTAGTCAGAACTTGACTGTTGCCTGTCCCCTCTAGAGTGATAACCCCCCAGTCTGTGTCGGCAGCAGTAGCCGGGCTGTGTGTGAGTGTGCCTCTAAACTAAAACTAGAATCTGACTGCACTAGAATCTGTGTGAAAGGACTGCACGGTGGTAAATGACCTAAGGGAATAACACAGCCTTGACACCATATCTGCATTAATCATAGTGACACCTGCTGGGTATGGAGAGGATAGTCCTGATGATTTAATACAAAAAAGGTGCTTATGTATAGTTTAAAAGGCTGTACAATCATTTATAACAAATGTCACACTCGTGCATTTAATATAGAAACACTTTGACTAATTTTATCTACACTTTTTCTCCTCAGGCATCTCCACAGTCTGAAGACAGCCCTGACCGAGCTCATCCCCCTCACCATGACAACGGAGTGTCAGTCCGCCATATTGTCACGGAGATCGAAGCCATAAGTCATCCTTCAGCTTCCCTTCCGACCCCCTCTTCCTCTTGCTCCTCCTCTTCTCATTCGTCGCTCCCTCCCTCCTCCCACAGCCCTCAGCATCAGATGGAGGCGGAGACTTTGTCTGAACTCACCCAAGGCTCTCTGACTCCCCCCTCTCACCCGCAGTCTCCCTCCATGCTGCCGTGTGATTGGCCGGCGGGCTCGGTGCGGCGGGCCACCAAGCAGCTGGAGCAGAAGCTGAGGCAGGAGATGGAGGTGACGGCAACTCAGCGATCTCCCCTTCACTCCCCCAGCGCCGAGCACCCCCCCGTCAGACTGTCAGCGTGTCCCCCAAGCACCGAACACACGCCCCCCCGCCTCCCTCAGGACCTCACCGAACAAACTCAGGGAGAAAAGCCCAAAGACGGAGAAGAGTCAGACACAGAGCTCAACTCCTCAGATGACCTTTCACCTCCTCATATCAGACATGTCTCTGGTGCTACACCCATCACCGTGCTCACATCCATAGACAGCCAAATGCTCACATGTCAATCATCTCTGGAGACCTCAGCTCCGCCCCAAAGACTTCACAGCCAAAGCCAGCAGCCTCAGGCCTGCTCAGACCAGATGACTGTGGACGGGGTGACGGTGCAGGAGTCAGACGCAGACGAGACTCTGGGGTCCGATTCCAGTGGGAGGGGAGGGTGCGGCCCTAACTGCGACGCCGAGAGCAGGCTGGCTCGAGGCAGCCAGGAGCTGGAGAGGATCCAGCAGACCCTCCGGGAGCTGCAGGCGTTCCTCCACGACGGCCTGGAGACCCCACACAGCCAGGACCAGGAAGTGGAGCAGCCCCAGGAGAAGAGAGACATTATGGAGACAGAGCCGGGACCTTCTAAAGGGGGGAGGGGCCTCCGAGAGAAACAAGAGGGGAAGAGCTTCCTGGAGCCCATGTTGTGGCACAGGGCCATGGAGCTGGAGGCTCGTATCCGCCAGGCGGGCCTCACCCCCCCCTCCCTCATGAAGAGGTCGGCGTCTTTAGCTAAACTAGACTGTCTGGAGCTGTCGGCCAATGACCTCAGCGACCTTGACCTCAGGCCACACTCCAGGTCCATATCAGCCCACTCCCAGGACCCTTTCTCCATGTCCACATCTCACCCCGACGACTCCTGGAAGAAGCAGAAAGTGTTGAACGGTTTTAAAAAGACGGGTTTGTCGCACGGCGGGAACGAGTCGTGCTCCTCGCCATCCCTCTGCTTCCCCTCCACGCCGCAGAGATGTCCAAAAGAGGACACGGAGGAGAAGGAGGGGAGGGAGGAGAGGGAGGAGCCGGACGGGACGGTCGCTCCGAACCGCCAGCAGGGGAGGGGACACTCATCGAGACGTCGCAAAGGCTCCGCTGAGAAAAAGCATCGAGCCATCACTGTGCTATACAATACCATGTGACCTCAGTGCAATGGACTGGATGAGAAAGGCTGCATGATGAGTATGAATGTGTAGCAGATTAACTGGAGACCCTGTGTATCCTCCGATGTATGTTTTAGGAACCGAATGACGAGCATATGTTTGCATGTAAACCACTGGATGTGATGTTATAACTGGACTTCAGGTTTTAATGTACAGTACTGAAATATGAATGTCCAAACTCCTTTTATGTCTGACGTCCTATTTTTTTTAAGAAGTGTTAGTTTTCAGTGTTTAAACCTCGCTGCCTGTTCAGAGTTTATAAAACTACAAGAGGGCTTTTTTTTGTTTTCTCCAAACATGCACTTTACTGTTTTAATGATTTGATTTGATTTGAAATCCCTTCCTTACCCCCGGGAGGATTCTTTTTGCACTGATCTCAGTCGACTTTGTTTTTATTTCCATAGTGGACGGACGTGTCTTTATTCAGATTTTTAATTGAACCAGGACAAAGCTGATATCTTGTTTTTTTATTGAATTATTTAGCAGGAAATAAATATGTTAAGTTTGTTTTGACCTCTGTGACTTTTGTCTTGTTTTGTACATGTGTTCATCATCTCTCACACACACATACAAACACATTTATATAAAGAAGACAGAAGGTGACTATTAGCTCCAGATGATTACATTTGACCCACATTATCCTGGACATTACTGCCACCTGCTGGCCAGGCTGAGAACTAAACCTGTGTTGCAGCTCTCGAGGAGGCGTGAAAAAAAGGTAATATATGGGGTACATTTCTCACAATCTTTAAAAGTGAGCACTTTAAAGAACTGCAAGCTCTATTGCCCAACACACCTCCAACTTTTTTCAAATGTTACCACCTTTAATATCTGAAAATCAAGCCCTTAACATAATCATTAATATAATAATGTTCTACCTGTCATGTTTGAGTCAATCCCGTCTCCTAGGGGATGTGATCTCCATGGGAGCTCAGCACAGCTTATTTCTGGCTGACATTTTACCTACTGTTTCATGTGGGTAATTAAATACTGAGATGTAGGCCACCGGGGCCCCTGCTGAGACACACACACACACACAGACTTGATCTGACTTTTAAAAAAGCAGGTGATTAAAAGACTACACATTCACGTTCTGGGTTTGAATGTGAAAATATTGCCAGAAAAAGAGGAAAACAAAAACCACTTAATCTCACAAAATAACTTACTTTAGTAGACAGAGCAGATTAATTGAAAAACTGATTTTGATATAAATGGTGTGTGTCCTAAATTGATGTCAGAAGGGCCATAGTTGAAATACTGGGGAATAAAATGTAAGTAGCAGGACATGGGGTGTTAAAGTGAGAATAGCATCCATCATTATTGGATACTGACACACCTTGTTTTGTCTGTGACTCTTTACAAATTCCCTTCACACATCTTGCAGCCCATTGCTCCCACCTTCCTAATTGTATTCATAATGTGGAGCTGAGTCAGGGCGGTGGAGACGTTGCAGCTGAATACTGCGGATTCATTTAAAAACATTATTTCATTTTCTTTATCCAATTCCCTCCATCACACCCCCCAAAGTGCAGAAAGCAGCCTGTGCGCTCCGGGCGGTGTTTCTTAGAGGGTTTAGAGTCTGTAAGTCCTTTTCCTCCGTGTCGAGCCTGAAATAACTACAAGCAAAACCCCCCTTGGATCCGACTGAGTGCTGGGACTCCGTGTCACAGGGAGGATGATGGAGGTGGAAGCTACTAAAAACAGATCAAGTCTCTCGGGTGCCGCAGCGTTCCCTAATCTCCTGAGAAATTAATTGCCTTTATCACCGTCCTTCACTCAAAGGGACCGTAAAACTAATTGACAGTGAAAAGCTGCAGCGAAGTCTTAGTTTGGGGGTCAGGGGATTGGAAGCTGTAATTTAAAAATAGATTAAAAAATAACCCACTCATGCGATGCTGTTCCAAAAGATGTGTCTTTATTTGAATCATTATCTGAACTCACTTCCCAGCATACACCATGAAAACATTTCTGCAACATTTTTTTAAAAGTAAAAAAATTAACATTTCCTTTTTTTTTTATCAACCAGGCAAGCTGAATGGGAATTGTAGATAGGAGGCAGAGGTGGTTATCCTCAGTTTGTGCTGATATAGGAGTGTTACATTTCTTTCAAAAGATGATACAAAAAGAAAAGGAATAAACAAGCCGTCCTTGTCCCTTGCAACAAAACATGTTCATCAGTGTTGGGCTAGCCTTGAACCCTGCAACATGAAGTTACTTACAATTATGAGAGCAATGTTGAACAATCTTTCCAAATCCAGGAACTGAAAGGTTCACATTTGCTCAATGTGCAATTTTACATTTGCTTGTATTTATGGAAACAACTTTCTATTTGGGTAATTGCTGTCAATAGATTTTAAAGTGATTCTTTTGGGCACATGTTCCCTGCCAAAGCTTGATTAACCATTGCCGGTCTCCAGGCTAGACAAAATGAACCTCACACAGGTGCAGACCATGCTGAAATATTGTACAAACATCGACCGTAACTACACAGAAATACAGAAAAGATCCGCTCATGTAAGGTGAGAGGATGCAAAGATACAGAAAACCTCTTTCTGTAACATTTCTATTCCACCATTCGATTGAAAACCGCTATCAGGTCCCTTTATTGTTTGTTACAACGGCCGGCCACAACTCATTCACCGTCACATACATGTTAGTTAGTACACAAAGTGTTTATCTGGCTGTCTCATATCTGTGCTCCTGCTGTCTAACGTCAGGCTAAAACTAGAGCTTAGCTTGTGCTCAAACTCGTCATCTACATCCATTAACAGTCAATATGTGATCCGCCAACAAGCTTAGTACAGTACATCTGGATTTTGTGAGAAAAAAAAAGAAACATACCAATCCGTTTTTTGAAACATTTTCCCTCAAAACTGAGGAAGTCAAATGGTTTGTCGACACTCAACTCAACTTGACCAATAAGGTCAAAGTACTCCCACACTAGAGTGTGTGTGTTAGTGCCGGAGCAGAGAGTTGGCTTTACAATATACATGTTCAGTATTGAAGGTGATCTGTTGACCCCTGTGCGGAGAGCTGGTTTGGAAACACACACACATATGCACACACACACACACACACACACACACACGCACCTGCAAACAGACAGAAATCAGTCACCCAAGAAGGCATTCCACTGAACTTGTTGTATTGGATGCATTGTTGGTTGTAAACTTGTCACACAAAGTACCGTGTGGCACCAGAAAGAGGAAACTGAAGTCCCTCTCTGGCTGTCTGAGGCCATTTACATTTGCCAACTTTTATGGGAATGTCCAAACCAGTTTTGATGGTAAATGTGGCCAATTGAAGCAATTAGTGCGTGCTATATTGAGAGAGAAATTGGAGCTAAAAATACGTGTTCTTCCTGCATTCACTGGCATCATTTAAAGTGACTCAGTGGAAGAACTACAGGCTGGTACAGTGTGTAATTCTCTTGCTAGCCTTGGGGTTGTTTTAAATGTCATTCAGAAACAGAACTTCCTTGTTGTCTTTGCTTGAATTGCAAACAAGATACTTTACTGACAGCAAACATGGCATCCGAAAATGTGTGGAGAAGATATAATGGATGAGGATACATTTACAGTATGGATTTGGATGTTCAGCCGTCGTTATTTGAGCCAGACTAAACGGCATTAGCAGCACAAAAAATATGGCCAGTGGGGACCCTGGGCATCAGTGTTAACTTTGGGCATCAGTGTTAACTTTGTCTGTCAATATAGCACACACTCAGGAATGTATTGTTCCAATTGACATAAAAGGTGGATTATTTTCCCTTTAAGTTTAAGTAGCCTGCACTGCCCTTCTCTCCCATGAGTCCTTGGTCCAGACCCCTCCCCTCAGACCCCTGCTGGGCCACTCAGATCTCATTTCTCCATGAGTGACAGCTCGATGATGTGCCGTAGCTCTGTCTCTTCTTGTCGCCGCCGATTTTCCGCCTCGTCCTGCTCCCGAGCTGAGATCTCCATGGCGATGCGCAGCTGCTCGTCATAGCTGCAGGTGGACGGCTGCTTCTTGGAGGGGGTGGAGCAGAGGCTGGAGGGGGGGCGGGGCTTGTGCTGGGGGGTCCTGGTGTGAGGGAGAGGAAGGAAGAACACAGGTTAAAGAAGCAAAGGGTTTTGAGTGCCATTATGTTTGAATTAAAAAGGTTATACTTCCTGGATTACACAAGCATTAGTTAACATTACTGTAGTTTGGGAATTTCCATTTAATCCAAATATAAGACTGAGGCAGGTATTGTATTCAACTTGTGAGTCTGTGTTTGTGTTTTCATGGCAAAATGTGATCCGATCCTGGAAACACCTACTTTAGCGAGAACTGTCACTGGTGTGATCCTATCGCAAGATTGTCTCTTGTTCTGAACTGTAACTTTTTTATTACATTTTGATGGCATGCATAACTCTTGTTCTTATAACATACTATAAATACTTTTGTATGGCATAACAAGTAACATGTAATGCATACTACAGTACAGTGTTGTAGTCAAGTCACCAATTCACGAGTCCAAGTCACTCTCGAGTCACCACTCTTCGAGTCCGAGTCCAAGTCCGAGTCACCAAGGGAGAGTCGTAGTCGAGTCCGAGTCCAAGTCCGAGTCACCCAAGGAGTGTCCGAGTCGAGTCCGAGTCCGAGTCATCATTACCTGTGTTCGAGTCCGAGTCCAAGTCCGAGTCACCCAAGGAGTGTCCGAGTCGAGTCCGAGTCCGAGTCATCATTACCTGTGTTCGAGTCCGAGTCCAAGTCCGAGTCACCTAAGAAGAGTCCAAGTCAAGTCCGAGTCACAAGTCTTCATGTATTAATCTTCGTGGATATATGTGTTGAAATGTAGCTGCTCCTCTACATTGCTTTTATCCTGTCATGTTATACTAATCTGTCTATTGAACTGCTGTGAAGCGAGTTTGGCTACAATTCTTGTAATAGGTGCTATACAAATATAAAGCTTATTACTAATATTAATATTATTATTATTATTATATATAAATAAACTATGTTTAAAATGAGTTACCTTTTAGAGAAGTGATTATATTTGTATGCCAATATTTTCCTATGGTAAAGTTTTCGTTTTGCACTTTTATTTTGATAATAATAAGATCGGGACTCTTATTTTGAAGGAACTTTTACCGGTTAAATCGGTTTACTGATAAAGATTTAGCCCCAGAAAGCACATGGCTACTTAGCATGCAAAATGACGTCATTCTGCATGTTAAGTAGCCGTGTGCTTTCGTGTTATCGGCTGAATCTTTATTTATTGATTAGATCACGTTACTCTGATGATAGTGTTCAAGACAGCCTATATGTCTGAACTCGATGTTTAGAGTAATGTGTTACGGAGCCTTCTCTTCAATATTGTTTCCACATAGAGCATTTTGCGCTGCTCTTTTCCAATGTCGAAGCAGAATGTGTGAAAGCATACAGCACGATGCGGGGGTGTGTCTCATCTTTAGACTGGAATAGCGGGGCCCAGTACGTGAACTCGCCTCGCAGCCGGTGCACACGCCAGGATAGAGGACATCAGACTCCATAGAAAACTTGCTCGAGTCCGAGTCCGAGTCCAAGTCGGAGCGTCAATGTACAAGTCGAGTCCGAGTCATCGTGGGGGGAAAAATGCAAGTCAGCGTACGCGATAATTCACGAGTCCGAGTCCGAGTCCAAGTCATCGTGTGCGAGAATTCACGAGTCCAAGTCCGAGTCGCGTCAATCAGTGCGCGAGTCCGAGTCGAGTCACGAGTCCCGAAAATCGGCAATCGAGTCCGACTCGAGTCCGAGTCCAGGACTCGAGTACTCCATCTCTGCTACAGTATGACCTTTTCAAATAATTAATATGACATTTTCATGGCATATTGTTTGCCTATTTTCATTGTAAAATAATATGATTTAGTCTATGCAATATAGGCCCCCTATACAGTCAATTTTCATGACATACTGTTTTCCCTTTGTGAGTCTGTGTTTGTGTGATCATGGCAAAATGTAGTTTTGGAGACACCTACTATGGCGGGAAATACCGATTTTCCGAGGCGATTCTTTAAAGTGGACCTATCATGCTATATTTGAATAATATAGTGTAGGACCATACCTATATAAGGCATATTTATACTTTTTTTTTTTCAAAATACCAAACAGATCATGCATTTTAGCCATGCCTCATTTTGCTCAATTTGCACTTTTTTATCCCTGTTTTAGCAAGGGCAGTTTCAGTGAGAACAGCACCATCTACTGGCCTGGCATATGTACTACAGCGTCTCCAGCGCTTTCGAACGGCAATGGCCGTGGCTGTCTCCTCCTGATTGGTGGAGTTGGCCCAATAGCTGTAGCGCCACTGTCCTGACGTCAGGACAGTGTTCAAATCAGGATCAGTTTTTATCAGATCCGTTGCAGCCCCTTTTTTAGAGATTTGGGTATGGAGGAAAATAGAGAGGGTTGTGTTTTCTGACACTTGGTGAGTTCCCTGGAACACCGGGGAGACATATTCATGTATAAAAGACGTACAAAAGTGCATTTTGCATGATAGGTCCCCTTTAAGTCATTGTAAAGAATTTCGTAAAAAGTTAATAGTATATGTGATTTTTATTTGACACACAAAACTATAATTTTGGCAGACAATACTGTAACCTTTTTGTGACTTTTTTTAGTGTTACCTATTTAGGACTTGTTACAAAACTATACCTTTTGTTTAAAGACTTTCATATGACTTACTAATACCAGCCTGGTAAAGATAACGCGCTAAAGTCAACAGACATACTGCCGACTGTGAAAGCAGGAAGCCTGTCCCCACACACACACACCCCACACACACAACACACAACACACACACACACACACACACACACACACACACACACACACACACACACACACACACACACACACACACACACACACACACACCACACACACCACACACACACACACCCACACACACACACACACACACACACACACCCAGGAGATGAGAGGAGAATAGCAGGATGGATAAGAGAATAGAGTACGGGAGGACAGCACAGGAAGACAGGAGGAAGGATATACAATGTATACAATGGACAAGTGCAAAACACTGCAAATAACAATAAGTGAGAGGAAGTTAAGATTAGTGAAGGAGCGGCAGCAAATATATCTCCTTTCTCCTGACAGTCTTTGAGGATTATATATTTTTGAGGACTACAGCTCTTTTGAAGAGAAAAGCCCACTTCATATTAACAACTGCTACTTTTAATCAACTTCATACTGTATGCAACTCCTGGTTAATTCCTGAAAATAGAGGGGTTAGGAAAATGTGGAATGGGTGTAAACAGTCATTTATAAAAAAAAGTAGGTAAGAAGAGTAGAAGATGAACAAAATATGTTTAATGAGATGATATAATATCATGTATCGGTAGTATATAATGTGTAAAATATCAGAAATCATAATATAGTGTGTTGAAAAATGTCTTTGTTAAGTATGACAAAAATATCAATAAAAACGTCCTAGTTTTATGTCTGATAAAATAAACGAGACTGACCTCTCCAGACGACTCGGATCACAGGACGGCGTGTGTGTTCCTGGCTTGCTATTGGTCAGCGCCTCCCAGATGGTCACCTAGACACAAAGAGGAGGCCGCACAGGAAGTCAGAGAGCGAGCACAGGAAGTGGGTAGTAGACAGATAAGGAGAAGTGGTAAAACAAAAGCATCCTCCCTTCTGTTAATGTGCGCTGAAGAACCTCTCACAAACAGCAGAGACGCTGCCAGCAGATTATGAATATCTGAATGTAAACAAGTCTAAATCCATTCTGGCCCTGGCTCTTTATAACCACTAATACCGTTTTTAATATTGATAAGCACCTGGTAAAATCCTACACTGTTAATACACAATATACCATTAGTACTGACAATAACAACAATGTCTCATTTAAGGGTGCTTTTGCATGATTTCACAACAAATTGCACATATTGTACTCTTAATACTCACCATTTATTATAACATGTATTATCACTTTTATTACAATTTCATTCACTATGAAATCATTGAAACTAAAAGTTGTCTAGGGTCATATTACAGTAAACAATAATATAATATAAAATAACAATTTAAATACAGTGATTATTGCATATAGGAAAACACATATTGGTGCATTCAAGTGATGCTAGTAATTCTGACATTCAAGACATCAGAGTCAAACTTCCACATTTCGCCCATTTGACCTACTTTAAGAAAATGCTATATATTCTCAAAATCCCTCGTCTACAATGCTGCAAGCTCCCCACAAATGTAACAATAAGCAAACATACATTGTAAATGTAGACTACCTCTCTGCACCTGCAACATCCAAGGTTGGAAAAGCTGGACAACAACAAAACTATTACATAAATATATCTCACAGGCTTACATTTGTTTCATACTGTAGTATAATTAAAGAAAACTGTGGTGTGTTTAAGAAGATAGTATGTTATTTGTAGGTTAGTTCAAATGGTTTTGCATGTAATGTCAGCAGTGTGGTCGTTTAACACCTGTCCCTGCTTCCAAATTAGATCTGTAATTAAAATGGTCACAGTTTGAAGCACTGGAAGATACATTTTGTTCTGCCTCCTCCACATTCAACCCCATGTGCTGAGCAAACACTGAGGATGTTCTGTGACCTGTCTCACCAAGACTATTTATACTTATCTCTGTTCCTCTGGAATAAGGCCAAGGACTATCAGCAGCAGCATCTTTGGGATTTCAAAACAACACCTTTCCTGAGGCAGAGTTTAATACCACAGGCAGGTATTCTTCTTATTGATTTTGCTCAAGTATCGATTGTTTTCATTTAGCAAAGAAGTGGCTGTATTTTTGACCATTTAGTGTTCGTATTTGTCTGGCTTGACTTATTGGTGAATTTACTGCTATTTCCTTCTCCGAGGAAGCATACATTTTTCTAAAGGTGCAAGATGTTCAAAACAATCAATGATCAGATAAAGACCCTTCCCCGAAAAGCAATTGTCCATTAATAATGACTAAGCAGCCGGCATGGCAAGTCTGCAGGGCAAACATGATTAGGATTTCCATGCAGTACATCTGCATCTATTATCATTTACAATTGTGTTATGTGCCATTAATTGTGAGAGCTTTACCATGTTTTTAGATTTTTGTGTTTTTTTAGTACAATTTTGAGATACCGCTACTTTATACTAATACTCCACAACGTTTTTGGAAGCCAATGTTGTACTTTGTATGAAACTTAATTTAACAGCTTTAGTTACTTATAGATTCAGATTCATTAGATAATACCAAATATAAATGAATTAGTAAATATACATACATCACTCTAGGAGGTTAAGCAGCAGTATATACAAAACTAAATTACCTCCACCTTTACCAGCTGTAATAGATTAAATAATTCATCAATAATTATAAAACAGTAATTTAATAAATATGATTCTTACATGGGCCATTACACATAACAAGTACTTTTATTTTAGGTACTCTAAGTGAAAGGGGGGGGGGGGGGGTTGGAAATGTGCCGCCATGCTTCAATGATGATGGCAAAATATTCTTCCAGTATCTTAAATACATAATCCATGATCATACAAATATGAAAGAATATAAATGCATGCCAAAATAAGCATATTGTCAAAGACTGCCCCTGGCTCCCCTTTAGTTAACACCCTTTTCATGCCATGCAAGAATGACAGCTTGGTGTAGCAACAGTAACCAAGGGGCAGGGCTTAACAAGCAGGTCTTGTTATGGGATGTCCGACTGCTGAGTTTCTGTATTATCAGAACAGAAGATTATCAGAGTCAGCTCACCTGATCGAATTCAGAGCCGGCCTCCAGCAGACTCTGCTGTATGGCGAACTGCAGCAGGTCCTCCTCCTCATCCCTCATGCTGTCTCTCTGTTTCCCCCCCCATCATGGAGTATCCAGGCGGGGGCTCAAACACACACGGGGGGATCTCTCCGGCTCGACATGACACTGCAGCACACAGGGAGAAGGCAAAGGGCAGGAGATGGAGAGCTGTGTTATCTAACAGTAAAGGACATTATACTGAAGGAGAAGAACAGGTTTCTGAGCGAGAGGAAGAGTTTAAAAACATGTATCAAGTCATTTTCCTTTCACTCTTGCCAATGTATTGCCTCTACTCAACTGCCTGTATTTTCACAGGACTATAACTCAAGGATTTCCAGAGAGCTTTGCTGTCCCACTGTAAATGATCTCTTTCCTTCGCATGGCTGCAGATTTAACGTGGCTATTGGGATTCTAAATTAAGTGATAAGGTGAATGATGACTCAGCCACAATTTCAAACACAACACAAGGAACATAACTTAATAACGCAACTGTTAAGACTGTTTGCGGACTGAAGTATGGCCCAGGTTATGCAGTAAATGATGTAGTGAGATTCATGAAACTTAGTTGAAGTAAATCTGCAGAATATACAGTTGAGATGACACTCGCATGTCATTTTATCAGCTAAGAATATGTCAGGAACAGGAAATACTGCTGTGTGTTTGGGAGTGTGTTCTTACTGGTGGAGCTGGAGCTGGAGACGCTGGAGGAGTCGCTGCCTGGAGACGGGGTGTCTGTCCTGGGGGGGTCCCTCTGTCCGTCCCCCTCCACCCCCACCTCGTTGTCCGTGCGAACGCCCGTCCCCTCCTCGCAGCCGTTCAGGTTGCTGAAGGTGATCCTGGCGTTCAGGATGTGGTAGAGAGGGATTTCTGCAGGGAGAGGAATAGATGAGGACATTTTAATGTTATCTTCTTTTAAAGGGGACCTATCATGCAAAATGCACTTTTGTACGTCTTTTATACATGAATATGTGTCCCCGGTGTTCCAGGGAATTCACCAAGTGTCAGAAAACACAACCCTCTCTATTTTCCTCCATACCCAAATCTCTAAAAAAGGGGCTGCAACGGATCTGATAAAAACTGATCCAGATTTGAACACTGTCCTGACGTCAGGACGGTGGCGCTACTATTGGGCCAACTCCACCAATCAGGAGGAGACAGCCACGGCCATTGTCGTTCGAAAGCGCTGGAGACGCTGTAGTACATATGCCAGGCCAGTAGATGGTGCTGTTCTCACTGAATCTGCCCAGAGCTAGAAATTGTCAAATTGAGCAAAATGAGGCATGGCTAAAATGCATGATCTGTTTGGTATTTTGAAAAAAAAAAAGTATAAATATGCCTTATATAGGTATGGTCCTACACTATATTATTCAAATATAGCATGATAGGTCCACTTTAAGGATACTTTTTGGGCTTTCTTGCCTTTGTAAGTACAGCTTAAGAAATAAATGGGGAGAGAAAAAGGGGACGAAACGCTGTAAAAGGTCGCAGGTCAGATTCAAAGCTGGGCTGCTGCTAAGGACTCAGGCTGGGGACCACTTGTTGTATAATATGCTATTATTATCTGCTTGCATCTTTGCATCAGTCTCATCATCCAAATAACGATGCATGCCTTGATATTAACTATTTTATTCAAGGATTTTTTGTCATTTGCACAATAACTACATTGTAGATTTGGCTATTAAAATTCAAAGTTTCAGACTCCATTACAATGCAACATATGATATACTTAAAATAAAAAGTAAAAGTACTAAAATAATCCAATAAACAATAGGGCGCATATTGCTAACTTGTCTGTCCTTTTGGCTCCCTTTATCCCTCTGTCTTCATTTCGGAGCATCCTTCTTAGATCTATTTTAATTTCCCATCATCCCTTCTACTTGACTAGCCATCATTTTAACCTCCCTCCTTCCCGCCGTCCTTCCATCTTTCATCCATCTCACTCTCCCGGCCAGCACTCACCGATCTTGACGGGGAAGCCAGGCGGCAAACGCAGAGTGATAAAGTCACGCAGCTTAGCAAACAGTGCGTTGGAGATGGCCATGAGATCGATGATAGGCACCACTTGTTCCGCCAGGGACAGAGGATGGGACTCACACAGCCACAACTTGGCTTTAAACCTGGAAACAAAAAAACACACACACGAGGATACTGATGAGGTGACCAGTAATGGAGTTTGTTGATGAAAAACAGTTCTGTCTTCAGTGTAATTGAAGCACTGTAAGTCTTCATTTACGTGATGAGCTCTTTGGCCACAGTTACACAAAGACATTGATTACGTCAGCCTATAGCGACCGTCCACAAGTTGCTGAGTCATGTTCAAATTGAGGCGAATCAATGCTTATATTTTAACGTGTCCGATAATGAGCACAGCAGTGAGAGGCAGCTCTGAAACCTCCAACACTTCATCCTCATAATGTCCTGTCACTTTTTATTAAACGCCAAACGACAATGGAACTGACAACTGGAAATAGTCGGGCCGTTAGAGGAACACAGGGCAGAGGATCGGACAGCAGGCTGGCAGATGGATGAGGAAAACTTTATTAAAGGAAAGATCATGTGTCAAGCTAATATGATATGTGTGTGTTTATTTCCCATCAGGATCCCAGTGGTCAGCAGTCATAGTAGACGGATCATTTAAAACCTGTCTGTTTGTGTGTGTGAGCCTGTCTACTCTCTGTCCATCAGTCTGTCAGCTCTGGCACTTTGCGCTTGAGAGAAGAGGGTCTGTGTCCCTGTCTGTGTCCCTGTCTGTGTCCCTGTCTGTGTCCCTGTCTGTCTGTGTCCCTGTCTTTCTGTGTCCATGTCTGTGTCCCTGTATTTATGTGTCCCTGTCTGTGTCCCTGTCTATGTCCCTGTCTGTGTCCCTGTCTGTGTCCCTGTCTGTGTCCATGTAATTCTGTGTCCCTGTCTGTGTCCCTGTCTATGTCCCTGTATTTATGTGTCCCTGTCTGTGTCCCTGTCTGTGTCCCTGTCTGTCTGTCTGTGTCCCTGTCTTTCTGTGTCCATGTCTGTGTCCCTGTATTTATGTGTCCCTGTCTGTGTCCCTGTCTATGTCCCTGTCTGTGTCCCTGTCTATGTCCCTGTATTTATGTGTCCCTGTCTATGTCCCTGTCTATGTCCCTGTCTATGTCCCTGTATTTATGTGTCCCTGTCTGTGTCCCTGTCTGTGTCCCTGTCTGTCTGTGTCCCTGTCTGTGTCCATGTCGGTGTCCCTGTATTTATGTGTCCCTGTCTGTGTCCCTGTCTATGTCCCTGTCTGTGTCCCTGTCTGTGTCCCTGTCTGTGTCCATGTAACTATGTGTCCCTGTCTGTGTCCCTGTCTGTGTCCCTGTCTGTGTCCATGTAATTCTGTGTCCCTGTCTGTGTCCCTGTCTGTGTCCCTGTCTGTGTCCCTGTCTATGTCCCTGTCTATGTCCCTGTATTTATGTGTCCCTGTCTGTGTCCCTGTCTATGTCCCTGTCTATGTCCCTGTCTGTGTCCCTGTCTGTGTCCCTGTCTGTCTGTGTCCCTGTCTGTGTCCATGTAATTCTGTGTCCCTGTCTATGTCCCTGTCTATGTCCCTGTATTTATGTGTCCCTGTCTATGTCCCTGTCTATGTCCCTGTCTATGTCCCTGTATTTATGTGTCCCTGTCTGTGTCCCTGTCTGTGTCCATGTAATTCTGTGTCCCTGTCTATGTCCCTGTCTATGTCCCTGTATTTATGTGTCCCTGTCTATGTCCCTGTCTGTGTCCCTGTCTGTGTCCCTGTCTGTGTCCATGTAATTCTGTGTCCCTGTCTGTGTCCCTGTCTGTCTGTGTCCCTGTATGTGTCCATGTCTGTGTCCCTGTATTTATGTGTCCCTGTCTGTGTCCCTGTCTATGTCCCTGTCTGTGTCCATGTAATTCTGTGTCCCTGTCTGTGTCCCTGTATTTATGTGTCCCTGTCTGTGTCCCTGTCTATGTCCCTGTCTGTGTCCCTGTCTATGTCCCTGTCTATGTCCCTGTATTTATGTGTCCCTGTCTGTGTCCCTGTCTGTGTCCATGTAATTCTGTGTCCCTGTCTGTGTCCCTGTCTGTGTCCCTGTCTGTGTCCCTGTCTATGTCCCTGTCTATGTCCCTGTATTTATGTGTCCCTGTCTGTGTCCCTGTCTATGTCCCTGTCTATGTCCCTGTATTTATGTGTCCCTGTCTGTGTCCCTGTCTGTGTCCCTGTCTGTCTGTGTCCCTGTCTGTGTCCATGTAATTCTGTGTCCCTGTCTATGTCCCTGTCTATGTCCCTGTATTTATGTGTCCCTGTCTGTGTCCCTGTCTGTGTCCATGTAATTCTGTGTCCCTGTCTATGTCCCAGTCTATGTCCCTGTATTTATGTGTCCCTGTCTATGTCCCTGTCTGTGTCCCTGTCTGTGTCCCTGTCTGTGTCCATGTAATTCTGTGTCCCTGTCTGTGTCCCTGTCTGTCTGTGTCCCTGTATGTGTCCATGTCTGTGTCCCTGTATTTATGTGTCCCTGTCTGTGTCCCTGTCTATGTCCCTGTCTGTGTCCATGTCCCTGTCTGTGTCCCTGTATTTATGTGTCCCTGTCTGTGTCCCTGTCTGTGTCCCTGTCTGTGTCCCCCCTGTCTGTGTCCATGTAATTCTGTGTCCCTGTCTGTGTCCCTGTCTGTGTCCCTGTCTATGTCCCTGTCTGTGTCCATGTAATTCTGTGTCCCTGTCTGTGTCCCTGTATTTATGTGTCCCTGTCTGTGTCCATGTCTGTGTCCCTGTCTGTGTCCCTGTCTGTGTCCCTGTCTGTGTCCCTGTCTGTGTCCCTGTTTGTGTCCATGTCTGTGTCCATGTAATTCTGTGTCCCTGTCTGTGTCCCTGTCTATGTCCCTGTCTGTGTCCATGTAATTCTGTGTCCCTGTCTGTGTCCCTGTATTTATGTGTCCCTGTCTATGTCCCTGTCTATGTCCCTGTCTATGTCCCTGTATTTATGTGTCCCTGTCTGTGTCCCTGTCTGTGTCCATGTAATTCTGTGTCCCTGTCTATGTCCCTGTCTATGTCCCTGTATTTATGTGTCCCTGTCTATGTCCCTGTCTATGTCCCTGTCTATGTCCCTGTATTTATGTGTCCCTGTCTGTGTCCCTGTCTGTGTCCATGTAATTCTGTGTCCCTGTCTATGTCCCTGTCTATGTCCCTGTATTTATGTGTCCCTGTCTATGTCCCTGTCTGTGTCCCTGTCTGTGTCCATGTAATTCTGTGTCCCTGTCTGTGTCCCTGTCTGTCTGTGTCCCTGTATGTGTCCATGTCTGTGTCCCTGTATTTATGTGTCCCTGTCTGTGTCCCTGTCTATGTCCCTGTCTGTGTCCCTGTATTTATGTGTCCCTGTCTGTGTCCCTGTCTGTGTCCATGTAATTCTGTGTCCCTGTCTATGTCCCTGTCTATGTCCCTGTATTTATGTGTCCCTGTCTATGTCCCTGTCTGTGTCCCTGTCTGTGTCCCTGTCTGTGTCCATGTAATTCTGTGTCCCTGTCTGTGTCCCTGTCTGTCTGTGTCCCTGTATGTGTCCATGTCTGTGTCCCTGTATTTATGTGTCCCTGTCTATGTCCCTGTCTGTGTCCCTGTCTGTGTCCCTGTCTGTGTCCATGTAATTCTGTGTCCCTGTCTGTGTCCCTGTCTGTCTGTGTCCCTGTATGTGTCCATGTCTGTGTCCCTGTATTTATGTGTCCCTGTCTGTGTCCATGTCCCTGTCTGTGTCCCTGTATTTATGTGTCCCTGTCTGTGTCCCTGTCTGTGTCCCCCCTGTCTGTGTCCATGTAATTATGTGTCCCTGTCTGTGTCCCTGTCTGTGTCCCTGTCTATGTCCCTGTCTGTGTCCATGTAATTCTGTGTCCCTGTCTGTGTCCCTGTATTTATGTGTCCCTGTCTGTGTCCATGTCTGTGTCCCTGTCTGTGTCCCTGTCTGTGTCCCTGTTTGTGTCCATGTCTGTGTCCATGTAATTCTGTGTCCCTGTCTGTGTCCCTGTCTATGTCCCTGTCTGTGTCCATGTAATTCTGTGTCCCTGTCTGTGTCCCTGTATTTATGTGTCCCTGTCTATGTCCCTGTCTGTGTCCCTGTCTATGTCCCTGTCTGTGTCCCTGTCTATGTCCCTGTCTGTGTCCCTGTCTGTGTCCCTGTCTGTGTCCATGTAATTCTGTGTCCCTAGTCGGTGTCCCTGTCTTTCTGTGTTCCTGTCTTTCTGTGTCCCTGTCTGTGTGTCTGTGTGTCTGTCTGTCTGTCTGTCTGTCTGTCTGTCTGCGTCACCTCTGGGTCTTGGTGGTGAGCTGGCACTGGTGGCCGATGTCCCTCTGACTCAGAGACGAGTTGGGGTTGAAGTATTCCTCAGCCGTCAGCGCTTCAGGGTTGGTCTTAGCGGGACTCGACATCTGTGTCACAAGAGCCTGCAGGAAGTCAATGATACATATTTAAAAATATTGATGTAGCCACATGTTGCCATTTTAAATATAGTTAGGATCCATACAATGTATTAAAAGTACTGTTAATAAACAATACCAGTAATATGAATCAGAAGAAGAAAAATTCATTTATTTTGTGACATTTGTTTTATATTGAAAGAAATGAAAGATGAACACACTTTTTAGTTTAATTTAATTGACACAAAATAAAAGTAACGGTAAGAATGTGCAATAACAAGATTAAATACAATAATTTCATAAACACAAGAAGTCTGGAAAATGTCCAATAGAAGATAACAAATATTTATATAAAAATAAGAAGATAAAAATGTACTACAATAAACAGTATAACTTATATTACAATATATACAGTAGTAATCATAATATGTTTATGCTGAATTGCGCAGTTTAAAAGGGTTTGGCTGCTGGCCCTCTGTGGTGCATCGTGTTGGAATAAATCGTTCTTTAACGGATGACTTTAGAAAGTGTAGAGATTTCTGGCTTTTCAAACTCGCTCTATTTGCTTTTCTCTTTTGTGGTGGAACAAAAAACCCACCAACACTGGAATTTCAAGGCTTTCCTCTCACCTAGTGACATTTGCAGCAGCCCAGTGAAAAGAGAAAAGACTTGAGAACATGACAAAGCAGTTTTCTTATTCCAGTATTATACATCATTATAGTCTGCCTCTGTTGGTTCAATGCTCTAATTAGTAGCTCAGTGTTGACTGTTAAGGATGACGTTGGTTAACTTGTCAAAGGAAGGCCACCATTACTGAAGAAACAGAAGAGAAATGATTTCCATATTTATCATTTTCTTTCAGTTGGTGTAAAGTCAAACAGAGCCTAAGGCTTTAATAAATATAAAATAAAAAACAGATTACAAGTAGTCGAAAAATAAAATACATATCAATAACAAAATAGCTTCATTTTAATAAATTAATCATTAGCGTTACAAATATGTTTAATTTAAATACAAAATACCAATTAATAGGGATAGAAAATGAGTGTGAAATGATCGCAGGCGGTCCTGCCTCCTCTGGCAAGCTGGGTGTAATCACCCTAATCAGAGAGCCCAGTGCTGCATCCTGAAGAAGGAGTCAATAATAGTTGGTGCGTGCAAGCCGGGTAGACTGAAGCGTGTAGACGGGAGGCATTTCTACCAAGTCAGGACAGACAGCCGGTAAGACACCATTAGATCCATAATGTTGGGTGAGAGCTCCGCAGAGCCACGGTGCGCTAACATGTTTATGTTCTGTTAAATTGTTTGCGTGTGTGCCACGTGTCCTTTTAGAACTCTGCGCGTCATTGGTGATATATCAAGTTTCAATTTGGTGCGCTAATTTTGCAGAACATTCTGAGGAGACTTGACACTTGGAGTGCACAAAAATACACAGATGAAGCAATTCTGGTTCCTCAGGACATGGTTTGTGTTATTTGTATTGTTTCTTAATACCCCCTCATTATGTTACCCTCTGCCTACTGAACTGAGACACACACTCAGTTGCTCATCTTGCTCCCTAAATATCCAATATTTTCTCATTGTGAAAGTTTGATGAATGTTTTTATTATGACTGTTTCTATGCCTATTTATTTTAATCTTCATTCCTTTTATCTAGATCCTCAGTGTTCATGTCCTTTGGCCTTGTTCTCCCGGGCTTTATTTCCTTCTGTAAAACTCTTTGTATCATTGTTAAGAAAACTGCTATATCAATAAAGTTTATCACCAGCCGCAACAGAGTGTAGCTGGTACTGTTTTCACCTTGCGAGTCTTTAATTGTGTCATCAAATAGACACACACACACACTTCAAGCTTTTGACATGATTTGGCGTTGCGCCTGCTTTGAGGCCATTGAAGAGATATCTAGTAACATTTTTATTTTACATCAAAAATAGCTTTTGTGTAGAGAGGATAAAGAGGCATGGAGTTGAAAAGAGCAGAGATGACCGGGAGGGGGAACAAGGGAAAAAAACATAAAACAGAACGAGGAGGTATGAGTCATACAGTAGAAGCTCTCCAGCATAAACCAAACAAAAAAACATCAATTTATGAAAGGCTGACATATTGTTTTACTCTGCAGGCACGCTCTCCTGTCGACACAGTGGACCACGAATCATATTATGATGGTGACGGAAAAAACCCTTTCATGAGTACCAGCAGCAACACTCATTAATCACTGCATTTAGGTGAAAACATAGGGGTTCCTCGCTCAGCTGCTGTGTGCGTTTCATTGATTAGATTGGGTTTGAAAAGGTTTAATGACATTTTCTCAACCCATTGAACACACTAGACTGCTGGAGAATCATGAACATTGGAATGTAAATAAAGTGTTCACTTACCCCGTTGTTGGGCCCCATGTGTTGCTCAGCTATCCCCAGGAAGTTCTGCAGAGGAGTCTTCCCACCTGTGACACACAGCAGTGATGAGTTAGACTGAGGTTAAACTGTCCTGTTAGTCTTATGAACTGTCACTGCAGAGCAACCAAAGCTTCTGTTGATGCTTGTTTATCAGGAGATGATGAAGCATGCACTCATAAATCTCTATAGTTGGATCTGTGGTGCCTTTCGCTCTGCAATGGTTTACTCAAGATAACTTTTCATCAACCTTGAGCCAGAATACAATGAGGAAAACCACACAGTACTGAACAGGATTTAACTGAAGTGAATTCAGCTCTTAAGCAGATGGATCCTGAGTCCTGCATCCTGAGTCCTGGACTTCGAGTCGTGGCTGAACCTGTCTCTGTGGTCCTGCCTGACTCTCATCATACTACTTCCCTGATGGCTCCCACAGGTTTGTTGGATTCATCTTCTTATTATAGACACATGTATTTCCTAACATTTGGACTACCAATGCTGTAAATGTATTATCTTTTCAATTCACACACGGCATCTATTGCACGTCTGTCCGTCCTGGGAGAGGGATTCCTCCTCTGTTGCTCTCCCTGAGGTTTCTCCCATTTTACCCTTTAAACTGTGGGGTTTCTTTGGAAGTTTTTCCTTGTACGATGGTCAATCCGTGCCTCCCCTGCCTGCACGTTGCTGACGCACACAGCTGCAGACTCTCTGCACGGAGGAGCGGGCGATGCTGCTCCTCCAAGGAAGAGACACACGTTCACTAAGCCGAACAAACTATATCCGGTCACAGTGATCTGCTACATTAAAGTAAAGTCAACACATATCGACCCTATAGTCTTTTGTAAACATATGACAAATGTGCAAGGGTGATGTGGTCAGAGCATCGTCCTATGTGCCGGGGCTTAGCCCCGGACAGCCCCAGCCCAATTTAACCCCTGTGTATGACCTGTAGTATATGGTGGCTAATGGTGTATTGAGTATTACAGTTAATTACTTCAGTAAAAGTTAGATGTTAGATGTGTGTAAGAGGCTTAACAACCTGCTTTTGCTCCTAAACTAAGTTAAAAACATATTAATGATATCATTTTAATTTGAATAATGTTTCATCAAGAATCTAGCTTTAAAAAACTCAGCCAATCTGCTTCATAAGGCCTGTGTGGGTGTCGTTGGACTGAGAGTGAAAACCCACCAACTGTCACCATTTTGATTCATATGTAATGCATTCTGATTGTTTCTTGAAATTACTTTGACTTACTCTGACTTTGACTGAGCCCCTGCCTACTTCAAGTACAATCTGTCCTGTGAAACCTAAGCTAAACAGCTGTTACTCTCAGAAAATGATGTGTTTGTGTCGGATCCCATCAATGATAGTAATGGTTGATTGAGAGCAAACCATTTCAGGCCCATACTTTGAAGGAACTCTTTGTTTTAGAGCGCCATGGGAATACTAGCAGCTGCTGCTCATTGAGATATAAGAGAGATATGAGCAGCAAAGAAAAGCTTGTTAGTGTGTGGCATGTACTTTCAGACAGAACTGATGTGCGTCGGTCCTCAATAACCAGAAACTGACTGAGGGCTAAAAGCAAAGCAAAGATCCATCTGTTACCCGTAATGACAGCGCTGTTGTGGTGTGGTTGGTCGTGTCCATATTTTGGATCTGTCTCAAGATACAGTATGTGTCCCTCTTAGGATATATATCACTCTCAAAGTATTCGACAGTTTTGACAAAATGCTGTACAAGAGAAGAGCAAATGGAGTGAGTGACTCATCCTGGAGTCCTTTCCGTCCTGCATATTGGCGTGCAGATGGCGATGGTGACCCGGGAGACTCGAGCCCTCAGAGGAACATTTGATGGTTGATACTTGCCGACAGCGACAGTCCGGGGAGAGAAGACGGCTAATCCTGTTTGATTTATGATGTGAACCAGAAAACAAGACGGAGCCACAGAGCAAACGTTACAGGCTGTTAGCCGGAGCCTCGGGTGATCTCATCGAGCTCAGGTGAGAGGGATTACTCATCAGCGACTCTTTTATCACACAGGGCACAGAGGGGATAATGGAGAAATGCAGCTGCTGCAGCTGTAATGCACCTGCACATGATAAACACCTCATGGACAAATAGATGCCGGTGTCCGAGGCACTGCAGTACGACTTACCTTTTGTTTTGTTCTTGTTCTGGTCTGACAGATGGTCAGTTCTGGTCCTGGTGATAAGCTCCACGTTGGATGCTGCGTACACCTGAAATAGGAAGAGACAATTTACTAGTGCTCTGTTGTTAAGGCCCCACTGCTGTATGTACAGTATGATTACAAAAATAACAATAATAATAATAAAGTTGAATGAAATGAAGACAAAGATAGAAGAGGAACTTGGTGAAATATTTCAGAGGAACCAATGGGGAATCAAATGATATAAAATATGAATAGTAATACAAAAATATGATAAAAACTAAAAGTAATAATAATAATAATAATAATAAACAACAATAATAATAAATTAATAATAATAATAATAATAATCAACAATAATAATACATAATAATAATGTACTATTTATTTCTTTAAATATTTTTTCATCTGGCCATATCAAAACAATGTGTAAAAGTATTAAAGGGGAAACTATTTTCTCTTCCTTGAACTTGGCTTGCAGAATGCTGAATGCAGCCAAATACACACATTAGCATAAAGCATTGTTATTGCACCATTTGAGGGAATATTTAATGTTTGTTATTTTGTTATGGACTGTGCAGCACACCACTTTGTTTGCCAAAAGGTCAAGACAAATAAATGCACAGTGTTTAAGAGGATGCAGGGTCTCCACAAAAAGGGATATTAAAGTTACATTGATGGTGGCAAAGAGCAGATAATGTAAACAAAACGGAAAAAAAGAACTCAAAAGACTTACTGACTTATTCTTTTGTTTTCTTGATTACTTATTCAGAATATTTTAATGTTAGAGTACTTTCAGTTTTACTGCATAAATTGGCCACTGAGAAAACAAATGTATGAAACATTTACAAAACAACCCAATTTCACACCCTTTGTTCCTCGTCTGCTTGATACATGACAACAATTACAAGGCGTTGTTCACAGCAGAATACTGGCATTCCCCACTAGTTACAACAAAAAAGGAACTGCACATAAAATATTGAGCAGGCTAACAGATTCAGAGTTTACACTGGGCCACGGACAAATGGAAGGAAGTGCTAAAATTGGTCAGCGGGAGAGCAGCTCAACAGGAAGTGTCTGTTTATGTTTGTAGCTCTAAATCAATGATGCAGAAAAAAATATGCTTTTTAGGCCAGCAGTGTTTTAATGTATAAAGTGCTTAGTGACAGATGGTCCTGAGTGTCTGACACACGATTCCACCAGGGGGTCAAAAAACAACAAATGGGGTCAAGGTAATGCATGTGGCTGCAAAATAGATGGATTTCGTTTTTTTTTACTTTATTTGATACGCCATCTGGTCTTTAATGTGCTGATGATTTATTCCTCATGTGAGAGTAAAGAATCCTGGAAGAGAACTTAATCCATCACTATTTAAAAATCTTTTTATAATAACCTTGAGAGTGATTCTTTTTGGAAATTGAACTCTTCAAGTGAAGTGGACTTTCAGGAAATATTAAACTGAGCTCCGACAGCGGTGGTTTCTCTGGATAGTGTGAGAGATCAGTATTTCTAACCTTGGCTTCATATCCATTCACCGTCTCAGTCTTCTCGCTCCTCCAGCCTAATATTCCCGTCTTGTTCCTGAAACAGAGATTCAACACATCAGTTATCTTGTGGTCTCCACTTTTACTTATCATACAGTTAAACCACACTTGCTGTAGATTATTGGCTGACCCATGCAAATCTGCATATATGTAATCAGAGGAAATCACAAATACAGGTGACGTTGCAAATCACAGGCTTTGTTTTTTCCCATGATTTACAGCCTGAAAACACTGCTGCCTCTGTCCTTGTTTGTCGTCTGTGAAGATCAGCAGTTCAGCGTGCAATTAGGAAGTCTGCTCCGAAGTTAGTGAGGCATATCCCATCTTCAAGATCTATTCCCTTCACCGAACTCCTTCAGTAGCGGATTTCAGTCAGAGACATTAGGTACAGACATTATGTTCCCTCAGGATGAATTGCAGTGACTCTGACATATCATAGCACCATAATCAGGTATCATTTCAAATGTGTCCGATACTTTGGTTTATGACCAAAATGCTATCTTGTCGCCAGAGAAAACTTCTTGGGAAGCTAATAATGCTTTCAATGTCAAATAGCGTTTCCATCAGCCTTGGCTGTAGCGAAATATAGGGTTTTGTTCTAATTAGCAAATGATAGCATGCTAAAATGCTATGGTAATATGGTGTTAGTATGCTAACTTGTGAAGGTAAGATACAAGCTTACATTAGAATACACACTGACGTTAGCATTTAGCAGAAAGCACTGATGTGCCTAAATAAAGTCTGATACAGACTATGACATGACTAGATATGGGCAACTGTGCATCGGGGGGACAATCGGGACCATCCCAAACCGATGGTCAGTGGTTCAATCTCACCACTGCAGTCTCTAGTCGAAGTGTCCTTGGGCAAGATAATGTACCTACAATCAAATTGCAGGCTTCTTGAAGTGTATAAGTCGCTTTGGATAAACTGCTAAATGACATGTGATGTAATGTGTAGCCTTTGTCTTGTTCTCCAACCAATTCAATGTCAGACAAAGTTACGTCCCTGTCTGAACGTTGACGTTATACTGTATTAGCTCAATTACTGGGCATTGACTCATTGAGTAAACTTTGTACTCTTTAACCTGGCCCTTAAAAAAAGCCAAACTGCGCAGCTGTTTTTCTGCTTGGCTGCACATAGACCTATTAACTCCAGGTGGATGTCCTGTCCGTGGTGCTTGACAAAGTGGCTGCTCTAAAGCATCATAAATACATTATTGGCATGTAGACAGGAGTGCTGAGCAGGGAAAATGCTCAGAGGTGACACTGAAGTACAAGTCTGACAGCAGGATGATTACCCCCCCCCCCCCACACACACACCCCCAACACCACCTCTCCCTGCTAACTTCTCTCTGTCCTCCAGTCTTCTTGCTTTTTCTCTGTTAACACTCACTTCCTTTCAGCTCAACTCTTTCCATTATCCACCTATCTATCACGGTCTCCCTGCTGTCAATTCCTTTTCTCCTCTTTTCTCCAAAACTATTGATTCTCCCTGTTTTACCAACCATATTGTACTTTGTCCCCCATTGTCTCATTTATCTTTCTCTTCCTGATTCTCTCAGTGTATTGTATATTACCCCTCATTTCTCTCTGTCCCACCCCCTTTCTTTTATTTATCAATGTTCCTATCCTGCTCCATACTTTTTTGTATTTCTTCCCTCCTTTCTCACCTCTCTTTCTGTCTGTCACATCAGTTTTATCTCACCACCTCACTACAATCATTGTTTCCTCTATGCCTCTGATTGGCCCAAATGTTCTCAATATATTCTCCCCTCCTTTACACTTCATTCCAATTCTGCGTCGTTGTCACTCTGTGTGAAACTGATCGGTAAAAGGGTACCGTCAGCATAATAAAATGTTCCTTCATTGACTGAACAAAATCCAATGTTATTCTCCTCCATTCGTCTCTCGGTCAGGTTATGTCTGATTCTTCCATTGTTTCTCGTTCTGCTATCTGGCTCTCAATCTGTCATCAATGCATCTGACTTCCAGTGTGGTGTTGAGCATTATGAAGTGGCCTCAGTCAGATTCACACAGCCTAAAGCTTATTTGTACCTCACAACCTCCACAACTACTGGCACATTTCTTTAAAAAAAAATTGCAAAATAAGCTCACATAAAAAATCAATTATGAATGACTTTTCGTAAAGGAAACCAATGTAACTTCCTCCTGTACTGATATACAGTCTATAATACTGCTGGGACGTTAGTATTTTCCTACTTTTCATGAAATGCTTTTTGACAGCCACCAGAGAACGGGCATGAACTTGTTCCACTGCTGTGAGACACCAACAGTGAAATAAATTCCACAACAAAAGAGTGATTTTCTCCTCTCAGAAAAAAAGAAGCCAGCTTTCAGAGCAGAGAATGTCCCGAAGCTGAATTACATTGTGTTGTACAGAGGCTAAAATCACATTATCAAATTTTGCAGCAAAACATGACAAATACAGCTTGAAATCTGACTTCATTTTTTACTTGAAATGGAATTGGTTTGGGTCGAGAGGAAGATTTCTGTACCACTGGACTATACATTCACATATTCATATTCTGTGTGTGTGTCAGGTTTGCGTCTGACCTCTCGAAGGCGATGTTGCGGGTGTCCAGCTGGGTGGTGACCACGGGGGCCGACAGCCTGGCTGCGACCTGCTCGTCGCTGGGCTGCATCGCCCCCAGAAGGCCCAAACCTGCGTCGTTGCTGCTGCAAGCGCCGCCGTTCCCCCGGCCGGGTGAGAGCGCCGCCAGAGACGAGACGCACAAGGTCTCGCAGAAGACAAGCTGCCTGTCATGGTCGACCTCCATCACCTCTGCGCTGGAGTCTGAGAGGAAAGCGGGGGACAGACAGGAAGAGGAAAAACAAGGACGATGTTAAGTGAGCATAAGAGGCAGATTCAAAATGGACAGTGGGGACGTATTGCAATACAATGCGAAAAATGTGACTGCAGCACATATGGAAGGAAAAGTAAAAAAAATATCATGATTTCCAGAGAGTGTGTTTGTGTGCGCGCAGTGGGACAGAGAAAAAGAAAGAGCAAATTAAAGAATATTGTGAAGGGATTTAAAAAGGTCCAGGGGAAGAAGAGGAGAATTTCAAAGTGATGAGAGAAATAAAGACAGAAACAAAAGAGGAACATGGCGAAATAATGCGGAGGAGCCAATGGTGAATCAAATGCGTGGAAACAGCTGTGCGATGAGGCTATAAAAAGGCAGGCGGAGAAAGGTGCAGGTGTGTCTCTGTGTGAATATTTGCTCCATCCCACATTCATTTCATGAACCCTGAGTGGTTCTTAAATACGGGAATGTGTTATTTAAAATTCAGTGTATTGAAGTGAATTCAGATGATCCTGGAGGCTTGTTTTCTACAATATTACACAATTGTGATCATAATCCTTCTGCTCAATATGACTTCAATAGCTACAGCAGACTAAGGATATTACACCACATTTTTGTCGTGAAAGCAGGGTTATTTCATTATACAAATGCAAATGTGAAAGGAAAAGCAGAGGAGAACAGGATGATAGAAAGGGAGTAGAAAAGAAGATGAAGTGGCCCAGCCAAAGACAGAGAAACAACACACATGCCTATTAAATAACCCAATGCACAATTTGGTAGGTCAAGCGACTAAGTTATTTCCCAGAGTCTTAAGAAAAGAGTTTGTTTCCTAAAATGTTCCTTTAAAATAGTGTGACAGTTCAGCCAGTATTGTTTTGATTGCTGTATTGTATTAAATACTTAAAGATCCGTTTATACATGCTTTTTTTAACCTCTGACCTAGTCCCTTGAAGATGAAGCTCCGGTTTCCTCTCTGCCAGGTCATCTGTTCAAAGCCCATCAGCGTGGTGTCGACGCGGAGACACTGACCGCTCTTCCAAACTCTGTAGGTGTCGCTGGGGCAGATACGAGACACCAGGGGCACTAAGGAATAAAACAGACACTCTTTTAATCAAACTGTGCCATTTCCAATGAATTTGTGCAGAATGAAGTGCCAGAGATATCTTTCTAGTGTTTTTATGTTGGCAGTTTTCGAGCTCTGTGCTACATTTCAGCATTTGGTTGTAACAACACTTAAAGTGGACCTATCATGATATTTTTAGGCAATAGCATAGGTCTCAGATATATAAAAAATATATAAAAAACATGTCTATGAAGTGTTTGGCTCAAAATACCAAACAGATCACCCATTCTAGCTATGCCTCATATCCCTCTATTTCACTTCCTGTTTCAAAAGTGCTGATTTGGGGTATAAAGCTTTAAGAAATTGATAAAAAAAAAGGAGGGGGCTGAGCTCATGCGGGAGATTCTACCGGCAGATACTGCCGTGATGAAACGGCATATCATGGATTATCATGGATTATTTCTGAAACAGTATGGAGCTCAAAGGTTTTCTCTCTTGCCGGTTATACCACAAGGTGAGTTCCTTTTTATATCCAGCTTCTTCACACACATGCTCTCCAGCACAGGTTAGCTCTGAGTGTTAGCGATGCTAATGTAAACATGCACCGACCATATTACATCCAAAACAATCGGGCATTGTTTCTGATAGCAACATTTCTGATAGGGCCGTGGGTGTAAAGCCAGCCTACATTTCCGATATTACGTCATATCGGACGCAAATCTGGATCAGCTCCGTTGTAGCCCCGTTTTTAGAGATTTGGGTACGGAGGAAAAGAGAGAGGGTTTTATTTCTGACGCTGCGTGAGTTCCCTGACACACTGGGGACACATATTTATAAAAGACATCAAAAAGTGCATTTTGCATGATAGGTCCCCTTTAAGATAAAAAGCACACACTGTTTAACTCGAAGCCTCACGTACGTTCTGCTGTGCAGAAAGTGTGTGATCAGTGCCGAGTAAAACCGGAAGAAACAGGCCCAGAGGGAGACGATAACGTGATTATTTCTGACTCGTCGGTACTGTTCTGCTTTACCGAGTGGAATGAAAGACTGGACTCACCCCAGCTGGTAAACTCCCATTTCATCTCCACGTAGAAATCCTGGGCCTGAACAGGAAGAGAGATAAACAGAGGACGATAAATGAGACAGCAGCAGGCATTGATAGAGAGAATAGATAGAGAAAGTTGGGGAGATTGAAAATGATTAATTTAAAGATTGATAGACAGAAAGAGAGGCGAATAGCAACGCAGAGGCAAAGCAGTGATGCTTCCTCATTGTCTGCTCCAAAGATGGGGGGACTGGCAAAGAGAAGTGGTTGTGAATGTGCGGGTTAATTATAGAAGTGACGGATGGAGGGTTGGAGGGGAGAGTGATGTGAATGGGAGCAGCAGCAGATAGAAGAACGGTGTGGGATGTTTGCAAGTGCTTGTGTGGTTGAGAGTGAGCACTCTGTCAGATTGTGAGGGTATTGTGTCTACCATGTGAGTGGGAGAGAATGAGTGTGTGGGATTCTGTATGTGTGTGTGTGTGTGTGTGTGTGCGTGTGTGTGTGTGTGTGTGTGTGTGTATTTCGGAGAGCCAGCTGGAGCAGATACACAGGGAGACAGGCTGTGTGAAGGCAGTTCCCTCCATCTCTGCTCTCTGCATCCTCTACTACTGCAACACCATCTGCTGCACCTCAACACTTTACTATCAGGATTATATTGTGTATATTTTACCAGTCTCAGCTTTCCAATGGCTGCTAATGTGTCTTTAAGCATTGCACTTCTTACCCCTTTAGGGGAAAACTCAATTTATTTAGAGGGTTTTGCCTTGTATTTCCCTTGTTGGGAAGTAAACAAAGTTATAAATACCTTCAAACAAAATGTGAATATTTTATCATGAAACAAAGATAAATATCAAAAAGAATAATCTACATTTCAAATTAATGCATCTCTGCTTACAAGCCTCCCCATGTGTCTTTGTATGTTGATTTCAATTTTATTCTAATGTATGTGCTTCTTCACACTGAACACGCTTGTTTGTGTGAATGTTGTTTTATCATGGGAGTATATTTTTCCATGTTAGCATCAAAGTCTATGTCTGTGTGTGTGTGTGTGTGTGTGTGTGTGTGTGTGTGTGTGTGTGTGTGTGTGTGTGTGTGTGTGTGTGTGTGTGTGTGTGTGTGTGTGTGTGTGTGTGTGTGTGTGTGTTTTTGTGAAATCCCACTTGGCGCAGACGCTCCAGCAGGACGGGGATGCCTGCCAGTCTCTTGGCAGTCCTCTGGTAGTCACGGTAACGAAGCACGAGACGCACCAACTCCGGATCTTTTGTGCTCACCGCCTCCTGAAGAACTGAGAGAGAGAGCGAGAGACGGAGAATAAAACAGAGCCCATCACTCAGACCTCATCCAAAATGTATGTGCATGAGCGATTTAAAGGAGGGAAGAAAGAATTGCCAAAACTGAAGTAGGCCAGAAGGAAAAGCCGGTACGACAAATTACTGCAGCTTGCCAATCATTCATCGGACGGGCACTTTGCTGTTAATCTCACAGGCTGTTCCACGCTTGAACAGTTGTGTAACAATTCCCTTTCTACTCCTTTAACAGAAAACATGTTAGAACACACAGTTAAAACAAACCACTCGTGCTTTTTCACCTACGGACACACTTCAGAGTAATTAGATTAGGTGTTACAATAGATACTTTTTCTACATAACCCCAGACTTCCAGAACGATCACGACCATACCAAACATTTCAATTTATAGTGCTACATTTCATCACCATTAACAGAAAACACTTCACACAAACCTAGAGGTGACTGACAGCAAGCATTAACAAGCCTAAGAATGGCGGGGAAGATATTGGACTAACAATACAGGGTGTTAAATCAGCCAATATGATTTCAAGGTTAAACATTTATTGATTTCACGCTCCATTAGTCACCCATTGCTAGACCGCCAAACTGCATTTACACAGCGCCAGCCAGCAGATAAGAGGAGTCTGGCAGAAGCTGTTCTTCGAGAGAGGTGATGAGGAAAAGCGTCATGATTTGTGAGTATTTATAAAAACAACAGAGGACAAACAAACCTTATGCCAATATTAAATATGCATTATGTATTATCATATTTTTGGCAGGGGTTGCAACCAAAACAGTGCTTTTTACTGAACATTTGCTGATCATTGGTATATTTGGTTTGTACTGCAGGAGACAACTGTGCTTGACTTGTTAAACTCTTCTGGTCTAAATACATGCAAGAATGTTCTTTACAATTGAACATTTTCTGGACATATTCTCTGCATAATAATAAACACAGTAAAATAACCAAGCATCATATTTTCCCTTTCTGAAGCAACTCAATATCGCTTTTAATTCCCCTTTTGGATATCTAAGCATTTTAACATCACTAAATGCCAATAATAAAAACATGAGGGTACACACATTCAAAGAATATCAGTAGCTACTTGCTTCCTTCCTGATGTATTTGGTTGTTACTACTAAGGATTAAAAAATTATAATATATAATTAAAAAAAGAAATCTTACTATCTATACAACTTTTCCACACTTAAATTATATATAAAAGACTCATAATGCCTAAAGAAATACCACATTTTTAGGCTGGATTGTCTAAATTCTATGTTTTATCTGACACATTAAGGATTGCACTTCTTCACAATTCCAACTATAGCTAGCTTTCACGTTTATTTGTGATGATATAAATATATAAAAATAGTTAAAACCCATTTCATTTGTATCCTCTAATGAAGGCAAAATGGTTCATGTGGACATAAGCTGTTAGATATAAATTACCCACTGTATTCACCACGGTCTTATTGTTTACTATAATTATAACGCACTGTCATAAAAACGTTGACAATTACATATTATTTATAAAATGCTGAATTTAGTTCACCAGGATCATACTGACTCACCGGTCCATCCGTTGCGGTTCTCCTTGCTGACGTCAGCTCCGTGCTGCAGCAGGATCCTGGCACAGTCCAGGTGGCCCAGTGTGACCGCCAGGTGGAGAGGGGTCCGGCCCCGAGGGTCCAGAAGCTCTAAATCTGTCTGTCAGGACGAAGAGGGGGGGGGGGGGGAAGGAAGAACAAGGAGAGAAAGAGACAGAAAGGAGAGTGTAAGGGAGGGGAATGAGAACATTGGGGTTAATTGTGTTTATTTTTAGTTCTCTCTATCTCAGACGGAGAGTGCAATATATACTTCCACCTTTAATACTATTGCCTGGCTGCTATCTCACAACTGTTACTGGTACTGGATGTATATTTTGTAAATTGAAAATTGCGTAACTTCTACTTCTACAGTATATTAAGCTATCTTTGGCTCTTTACTTGCTGTGACAATGTAAACGTCCCCTCTGTGGGACGAATAAAGGTATTTTGATTCTGAGAGGAGAGATAAACAGAAAACCATAATAGAGACACAAGTGTGAATGTGTTGACTGGAGATGGAAAGAGACACAGTGACAGGTGCTAATATATCTGTCAGCACTTCAACATGGCACGGTGCTACATTCCTGCACTTATTTGTGGGTGGATTGGGTCTGGCTAAAAACAAAAAAGACTATCTGCTTCACACTTATAGCTTTTAATCAGTCTCTGTCTTGCATTCTTAAAATAATATCAAAGAAGATAATCAGTTTGAATATTTGGCAGGAGAATGTGACAGGTTAAGTAAATATGGAAGACAAATGTCAATCATTCATGCCCTGGAGTTAGCATCTTTGTTACCCCAGATACATGCTGTTCTTTCTAAACATGTAACTGTCTGACAACAACATTGATGAACATGAAGTTTAATTAATGCTTAAGGCGTCATTTCAGCTCACAGCTGCACTCTGTATTTAGAAGCATGTCAACAAGACGTCATTTATCAGGGCTATTACATAACTGTCGGACATATGGGGGAGGCGTGTGGCGCGTGTGCGTAGGTGTTCAGATCAGGGGGTCACAGGTTCAAACCCCACGGCAGTCAGCATGTCGTTGTGTCCCTGGGCAAGACACTTCACCCCAAATTGCTCCTGTGGGGATTGTCCACAGTATTGAGTATGTAAGTCGCTTTGGATAAAAGCGTCTAACAAGTAACATGTAATGTAATAACATATCAATCATACTATTGCTTTGAATTAAACATAATCATTGCAGGGGGGTAAACCTTATAGATATAAAAAAAGAGCTGTTCAGTCTTGATGCTTGGCTTAATCGCTGGCAGTAGTTCCATATTAAGTTTACAGAGATAAAAGTAATACTATCGCCTGAGAAAGCATTATATTCAGAGAGACGTATAATTGTTTAAATGATCAAGTATAACTGAAATGTATGTGAAGGGGAAAACTGAATAAATATTGATCCATTATTGGAAAGTATCGGTCTAACGCAGGTATTGATGTGCTCACTGGACCATTAAACTTGACACGTTGACTGGACTAACTTGTTATTGGCACCTCTGACACAGATTGTATGCAGTATATAGACAGGGTAACATGTCATTATTGATCAGGTTGACTGAGAATCTTTTTCACACAGAAATCATTGACCAGGTTGCAATGGTCAATACACATTGTGTTGCTTGTACACCAGATGATATATTTGTTTTTAACCACCCATTCCTCTCTCTGTTCATTCTCCAGGCTGCTCTTTGCACCACGGTGTTCATGTGCCTCTCTGCATTGTGCTGAACTGATATCAGATCTGCCATCCAATTCAACAATTGCTGACAGCCCATCATTCAGGCTGCTGGCTGATCCAAGGTCAGTTCTGTCAGTCTGCTGCAGGCTTGAATTCTAATTAAGGATTACCTTGCAGTATAGGTTTAACCTTTCTCACAATCAGCACTCTAAGCTCGAGGAAGCTGTGGACAATGCTCTCTAGGAATATTGGAAGAACATTGCGAGGGTTTGAGTTTTTGTATGTTTATAATATTAATATCAGATATATCAGATATAAAGTAGGTGAACTCAGGGGAGAGGCATGTGTTCTATTGATCCATAAATCCCTAAATCAGAGCAAAGGAGGGAGGAGATGTTTTAAAGGTGAATTTTCAGGCAACTTGGAATACACCAACAGTTCATAAAAACAACTGGTGTCTACTGTCTAATGCAGGTTAGCCGTTTGTCTCAGATTACATGTTGTGAGTGGAGTCAGAAATACACAGCAGATACATTATCAGTCACTAATGCATGTTTAGGTTATTTGCAAGGGAAATGAGGAAAAACGCATGGGATACACACAAACATCAAAGAGCATATGAATGCAAATTGCAGACACACATACACGGAGAAACGCTCAAACACATACAAGGACACTCACATGCTCTTACAATGTTTAAATGGATTGAGTTTAGCAAAACTTAACTCAATAATGAGAACATGATATGATGTGTGCTAATGGGTGCAATATCTCTGTACGATCTTTAACTATCCACTCCCGGGATAACAGCTCTTTGCTATCCAAATAAAGCAGCCTTGTAGAAAAAGAGTAAAGATTGAGGGGGGTATTGTGGCATGACACATTTATATTGAAGGAAACAGCCTGTCAGCATCAACTGTAACATGTAAGTGAGAAAAAGAAAAGAGCGACAGATTGCTGTTGCAAGTGATGGCTATGGAAATAAAGATATGGGGAGGGGAGAGGAGAGAGAACAGATGGAGGAAGAGAGTTAGAAAACGAGGAGGAAGAGAGCGGAGCTGAAGGAGACAACAACATGAGGAAGTCCCTCTGGAGCCGTGGAGACTGGGGAATAGATGGTGGGAGCGTCATAGCAACCCAAGGGGAAGAAAGAGAGCATCCACCTTTGTTAGAGTGTGCTGGATAACAAACAAGGTGCAGATACAGCCACTTACAGTGCTGTGTGTGTTTGTGCATGTGTAACACACAAGCAGTGTCTGCAGACCACATGTGCTTGGGCAGCATCAAATGTGAAGAGCTGTCATGTCACTGAAAGATAATCTAAAGTAAGGTGTCAATCATTTTTCAAACAACAAAAGAGACTGCCGAGCAAAAACCCACAATGTACCCTTGGAAACAATTCACGCCCAAATGAAAGTATATTTTGGAAAGAAACTATTCACATTATGGTGTAAGCCAGGGGCGGACTGGGACAAAAAAACAGCTCTGGAATCTCACCCAGACCAGCCCACGTGAATTGTCAACGGGGGGGGGGGGGGGGAGCTAGCGACATGTCAACGGGGGGGAACCTCGCTGCGGGGAACGGGCGGACCTCTGTCGGGGAACATAACAAATTAAGGGCGGGGCCGGCCATCAGCAAATTGCGCCCTTGACGACCGGCCGTTCTGTGATTCTCCAGATTCTACAGATGGCCAGTCCGCCCTGTAAGCATATGAAAGAGAGAAAGAAGAGAGACTGGAACAAAGCTGATTTTACAATGAATATAGATGAGAGGAGGAACATCGCTCTTCATTCATTTCATTTTTTTTGATGGCACTTATACTGTCACAGCTGCCTTTCATCCGTTGCTCCCACTTAAAGTGTTTGCATGTAATGTTGGTGATTATCAGTTTAATCCTATTTTACAGCTGTACTCCATTTATTTGAATTCATTTAGGGTGAAACGCTGAATAAAGACAAGGGAGCTGCAGCCTAAACACAAACATGCGGTAAAGACTGAAAGAGAGGGATGGCAAATCAAGAAAGAATAGCGGTAAGGTAAGTCAAGTAATTTGATTTATACAGCGCCAAATCATAACAGATGTTATTTCAAGACATTATTTTCCTTAAGAGCAGGTCTAGACCGTTCTCTTTAATATACAGAGGCCCAACATAACATTCCCCCATGAACAAGCATTATAAGGGAGAAAAGGGATATGTGAAATATAACACAGGATGACAGGGAAACACTGGGGCAATCCACTGAAGCTGCTTTCCCTCTGCTCATCTATGATGTAACTCCTGTCTTGGTAAAAGCATGATTTACAAAAAGCAAGAAGAGAAGAATATATTTCTGCTTGGCTCCTCGGTGATGAATTACATCACTAGGCACGCATTATTATTTGCTGCATCCATTATCTTCAATGCGAGTCTTTGTAAGTAAGCCTGTCAAATGAAAGCCTGTAATGTTGAGTGCAGTTTGTCGATGCCACTCAAAAAGACCTCATTCATTTTTTTAACCTTCTTCAAAGTCAGACACTTGACTGAGAGCATCATAAACCTCGCCGAGGAGTTTGTCAACACTTCACTGGAATATGAATTGACGAGGCCTCCTCAAGCTGAAATATGGTCTGGAACCAACAACATCTCCATCACTAACGCTCTGTTAGTATTACATTTGCTATGATGACATGTTTGAACACTATCAGAACATAAGTCGGCCTCATTTATAAGCTGTGGTTCATTTGGTCCAATTTGCATCAAACATACTGGGGGAAGTTTGAATTTGGTGGAGTTAACACAGCACACAGAAGCTACAATCTAGACAATTCATATGAAATGAAGTTCAAGAGAGTACAAATGTTGTTCAAGGGAAAAAAGAGGGGAGATGTGGTCAAACAGGGCTGACACACACACACACACACCCACCCACACACACACACACACACACACTTGAGCACCACAGAAAACCACTCAGTCCTCCTATTACTACACACTGACCTGCAGACACACTGACATAATGATCTATTCACAAGAACATTGTTCGGTTCAAAAACAAAACAAAACACACACACACACACACACACACACACACACACACACACACACACACACACACACACACACACACACACACACACACACACACACACACACACACACACACACACACACACACACACACACACACACACACACACACACACACACACACACACACACACACACACACACACACACACACACACACACACGATGACTGAGTTCCCTTTTCCCATTACTGTAACAGAATATGAGCTCTCTGGAGGAAATATGTTGTTTACAACTAATGGGTCATGTTCTCTCTCTCACACAACAACACACACACACACACACACTCATACACACACAAACACACACACTTTTGCCTTGTTTGACTTGTGTGCTTCTGTAGTTAGGGACATTATG